AAGACAAGAATCAACTATTGAAAGATTCTGAAATGAAACATCTTCTCACTTAATCTTCATCTCTCAGATCAGATCATATCAGAAATACGCCTTCAAGACTAGCTCTAAGATCAAAAGTCAAGCTTCGTGTTTTAGAAAAAATGTTGCTAATATTTCTGAAGACAAGTCATTGTTCTGATAACTTTAATGATCCTATGCTACAACTACAAAGTAGTTTCTAAACTACTCATCAGTCAATCATCAGAAGAACAGAGACAAAGTAATTAATTTCTTCTAAGCTTAATACTTTAGAATCAGAAGTACATCATCAGAAGATAAAGATCAAGAAACTTAGTCAAGAAGAATAAGTACAAACAGTACACAACAAATTCCACTATCATGATATTGGTTGTACTATTCAAAGAAGTTGTCTCCCACGTTTAATGCCAACTATTGCAAGCTACAGGCTAAGGAATGTGATGTTTCATACTATTCCAAACCTCTCTTGAATATATTCATTGGGAATCAGCCGTTGGAAGGAGAAAAGACTTTTCTATCCTTACAACGACTATTTTTAAAGACTATAAAAGGAGATAAATGAAATGAAGAAAATTTGTTGGAAAACCATGGTTGCAAATGTTGTTGGAGCTGTTATGCTAAACATGCTAAAGCTAACCAAAAAGAAAGAAGATGAATAAGAAGAATTCTACAAGATGATACTTAAATTCTTATCAAATATATCTTGGTAAAAATATGAAGAAGATAAAGAAAAAAGACTACAAGATGTTGCACTTAAACTTAGATTATATTCATCTTTGTAGAATCATGTAAACACAAGAGTTGTTGCTAAAATTGTGTTATATCATAAGTTCTTCATGTAAATTGTTTGAACACAAGATTTGTTGCTCAGAATTGTGTTAAATAATATGTACTTAAACTAAGAGTAATCTGCTTTTAAAGAAATAATCACGTATTCTCCGAAAAAATAATTTTGTTAAGAATTGATGGTTCCTTGAGTGACTAAGTGAATGTTAGATACTAAAAAAGACTTTGGCTGCGATCATCATGGATGAAATCCTGTGAAGAAAGACTAGGTGTGTTAGATTTCTTAAGGGTTCAATGATCGTTATATCTTGTGGAGATCACTGAACGCATCATTGTATTGTTCCTTGAGAGACTCGGTTGAGTCAGGATTCTCAAGAAGGCATAAGTTATGATCTTTGTAGAATTGGAAATAAGGATCAACTGAACTTGTTGGGATTGTCAGCAAGGTTGATCAGACTTATTGTGGTCATTTGTAATCAGTTTTGATTATAATGGATTAAGTCCTTGTTGAAGGCAAAATCACTTGAGGTGGGTGGACAAGATGTAGCCTAGTTAATGGTGAACTTGGATAAACTGAAGTGTCTCTTTTTTATTTCTAGAATTATATATTCCTTTATAGTTTTATCAAATACTTTTCAAAAAGGGAAAAATTTTAAAACTCAATTCAAATCCCCCTTTCTCGTGTTTTTCTCTACCTTCAAAGACAACCTATTTGGCAAAAATGGAAGCAGTGATGGAATGTTATTTTGAGATGTGTGAATAGTTTTCTATGATTTCTTATTTATAATGAACTATATTTTTATTTGTAGAAAATTAAATAAATAAGATAAATAACAATTAAACTATTAAACTCGAGAAACGAAGACTCGAAAAAAATGAAGAGGATACTTATTTCACTAAAATAAAATTACATTCTGGAAAGAAAAAAGGGCTACACTAAATATGTCTAATCACTCACGCACAATAATCAAAGAGTCTCAATTTATAAGAATCCTAATGATGATACCTATGAAAAGACGTTTGAAGTATGGTGTTTTAAGTGCATGGTTCTTTAAAAAACTGAAATTGTTCTCATTCATCTATCTCAAAAATAATCAGTGGGAAGTTGATATCCAGGGTTGTAATGTCAAAACCCCGCCTACGTGTACCACAATGATGGCTTGGGTGGGCAACTACTATAGGCTGATCGGATTGACTCCTGATAAATGTAAGCCGACCATATCGATCCCGAACCACAATCAAATAAAGGCCATGCTCTTTCTAGAATCTTCTTAATACACAAAGATTATAATTTTAGTAATCATTAAAGATATCATAGGTAAAGCATCCAATGACTTTCAACAATTCACTCCTAACTAACAACAAGTTAGTTACTCTCTTTACTATATATATATAAAAGGTTCCAAAGTTTCTTTCATATCGAACGTTCTGATTCCTTCACATAAACGAAAAATATTTTCATTTGTCTCTGTTATTATTCTTCCTTCACACTCGTTTCAACTTTCCCTTTTTCCTTTCCTTACGTTTCATATCTATTTTCTTAATCCACATCGAATCTTAAAATCATTCAAGTTCAAAAATTAACAATGATATGAAGTTCGAAATACGCCTATTCAATATTGGTACCTAACAATTAATTCTACCAATTGTTTGGACCTTATTTTTCATATCGAATATGATATTGTAGTTGAATACGATAGCAAAGTTTATAATCTATTACAAGAAAACAAGTAGCACAAAACAATTCACCATGAAGCTTATTTTCATGCTTATGAGAAAAGTTAAACAATTGACCATCAACAAAAAATTCATCAATGTTCATTTACATCTTTTAACATTAGTTAAGAATCAAGATTGTATCAAGATTGTATGTATTAAAACCTTTGGAGTGATCACTTTGACTTCCAACATCTTGTTGCCAAGATTGTTATTTGTAATTCAAATTCAACTTTATACTTAGCATTTGCAATTAAGTTTGCATTTGATTTTGCATTTGTGTTTTATTTCATTTGGGTACTAGTTGTCACCCTCCAAATTTCGCCCCTAAGTTTTCAGTCGCATTAACATAACTTATTTTGTTTTATCTGGTCACAGTCTTTGATAAACATCTTCATTCATTGCATTTGCATCAATAATCGTTCATTCATGCATTTAGGTTGACCAAAAATCAATTTAAATAAATATTTGTATCGTTTTAGAGTTAAAAATACTTGATATCTCACTTCATGCATTTTATCTCTTTACACCGCTTCATGCATTACGTCAAGTTGATTATATTTCAATAATATTGATATTTCGATTCTACAGGCATACTGTTAAAGGCGATTCGACACTGTGCATAAAATTAGCAGGCAAAATATTTTGAGTTTTCATCTTTAGCTGGTTGTTTTATGAATCTACGTTGCACGTAGATCATATTGATATGCACGCTTTATTTTTTCGGTGCAGTTTACAGTATTTTTTTTAACCATTAGTATCTGTTCAGTTGACTATTTTAATTTTAATTTTATTTTCGATTTTAGTCATTTGCAATTTCTTTTATTAAACTTTATGATTCGTAATTTATTTTAATATATTTATTTCTTTTTTTAATTAATTAAATATTCTTTTTTTATTTTTTTTGGTTATTTTAAATCTTTTTTTTATTTAAAAAAGATTAAAGCAAAAATATTTTATATTAGATTTATTTTTATTCTTTTAAATTTTTATATTATTTTTATCAAAAGGATATTTTTGCCATTAAAAAAAAAATCCTACTTGTTTTGTTATTTAAGAGATAAGGATAACATTTGTGTGGAGGGGGATCAAATCTTTAAAACAAAACGAAAACCAGAAACGGCGTAAACAAATCCACTCTCTCTCATCACTGTTCACGTGATAACCCTCCGTCGCCTTCCGCCCTTCATCCTCACGCATATACTCCATTAGTCCGGTCACACCACCATCCGCCTTCCGCGTCAGCTTCTAATCATCCGCTCCGTTCACGAAGCTTCGTCTGCTTGCTCAACAACTCCTTCATCAGCGACCCTCCGTCTCCGCTAGTATCGTCAATTATAATTTTCTCTCTTCCATTTTTCTTTGTTTCCAATGTTTTCTCATGTTTGTGTTGGCATACATGTGTGATGTTTGTTGTGTTTTCATTTTGTTTTTTTCTTTGAAAAAATGATTTAGAGAAAGTAGAGATAATCCATTAATATAAAAAAAAAGTTTGATTTATGGAAAAGTCATATAATGTGATTTCATTGTTCTCCTTGTCTAATATGAAGGCCAAATAAGTCTAAATTTCTCTCTTACCTTTTTTTTTCTATTTAGTTTTTGTTTTTTTTATATATATACACATGATTACTATTATTATACAGGTTTCTAAGTAAAAAAGAAGAGTTTATTTACTATAGTTAATTTCTTATCCATATACTTCTTTTGATTTCATAGTATTTGGATTATCTTGTCACTTGTAAATAATTTTAATTATATAATTATGATGTTGTTGTCCGATTAGAGTAAAATGTTGGAAAGTTTTGTTTCTCATGCTTTGAATTTGGATTTAATTGGTACATTAGTTTAATTCTTTTGATTTTGGTTTTAGTGTTTAGAATAAGCAAATGAAGTTTGTAATGTGTTTGGAGTTTGTTTTGAGACTTAGAGGTTTTCGTGACATTTTTGGTTGCAAATTGTCTTTTATCACTTAGTTTATTAATTCACAATTGGTGCTAAGTGTGTTTTAATCCATGATTCTTGTTTTGTGCTTTTCATTCATACATGTATGATAATTATGATTGAGAAATTTGGTTACTTACATGTAATTAGAGACAAGTTTTCTTTGTGCTAATACACTTTCTTTTGTGTTATTAACATGTTTATGATTTGTGTAAGTTTTCTGCATGGCTCAAGTGCTCTCTTTCTCTTAGCACGATTTAATTTCTTTCTTATCTACATCTATTAATTTATTATTGTTTTTAGTAATTGATTTTGTTAATTAAATGGATTAGTTTATTAATCTATTTTTCTTAATTTATTAATTAATGTGATCAGTCTTTAATTAGTTGATTCACATTTACCCCTATTTTTATAGTGTTGTAATAATTAATTTTCATTGCTCTCATTTTATTTTACTTTACTTTATTGTCATTTTCATTCGATAAAATTGTATCCCTCTCCCATTATGATGTAAATGATTTACCGTCTTTCTTTTGTTTATGTTTGAATGCTTACTACTTCATTATTTACCATTGTCGTGCATAAACTTTTCAAAGGAACTAATACTCGGTGCTGAGCCTATTTTCCACCATAGGTCACAACTTTTGTGTTGCAACCGACGACACATGGCTTCCTCTTGGACCCTCAACAATCGACACACATGCACACTTACACACATTCGTAGCTTAATCCTAGGTTCTCTTATAGTGACACCTAATCGATTAATTGTTTCAATTAGTCGTCTAGAAGACTAATCCATTTTGCTAGTGGCACTTAGAGATTAATATTCATCTTTATTTGCTTTTATAATCCATGCTTGTGTGGGCCACCTTGTATAACCTTGTGTGCTTTATTTGTTAATCTTGATTTAACAAGTGTATCCCCTATTTTGGACGTGTAATAGTTTTATAGTTTTATTTTACTTTTATTCGCTTATTCTTTATTGTACACTTGTTTAAATTAATCCCCGTATCTCGGTCCATATACCGAATCATAACCAACTTGGTAAGTTGAGTTTGCTTTTGGAATCGCAATGACCTCCTTACATTTTATATCATCGCTTTCATAATATAATCTTCAAACCTCAATCCAATGTCGAGTTTCTTTTCAGAAACCTTTTCTCAATAAAACATTGGAAAGATGGTTAGGATGCTTCTATCCCCTTTTTCTCAAGTGTTTGGATTGTTAGTTCTTTTTGAACTTGTGATCCTATACTTGGTTTTCTTAAATGAATCTTAACTTAGCGAAGCTTGCTTCACCTCAACTTTTTTTAATAAAACTTTTGGGATAAAAAAGATGGTCAGGATGATTTTGTCTCCTCCATTCGAGTACTTGGAGCATTAGTCGTTAGCACTTATGGTCTGATGCTTGTCTCCCACAAAAACAATCTCAACTCGTTCAAATCTTGTCACTTGGCTTTTTAATTTAAAACCTTTTAAAAGGAGCAATATTTTGTCATTCCATGATGATGAAACAATGTTCATTCCACATGTGAATGTTGAGCCTTTTTCACTCGAATGCGATAACAACTAGAATTTGTGCATATCTAGATTTAGTTATCCATTCTTGAAGTGATGCAAACGTTCCATTATCCATGTTTCGGGAAACAATGTTTTTGTTCGAATGTGATCGAGTATCTCTCACTAAGACGAATCAACCAACAAACATTTGTTACCTGAACTAAGAAGCTTTGATTTCCTTATTGCACTATGAGAATACGTAGGCACGAGGTTTTGAAACCGAGGTGAGCACAATAATAAAAAAACCAAAAACATTTTTTTCCTATCTTTCTTTCTCTGTTCTTGATTATAAGATCACAAACTTTCACACTAACACTTATTTGCATAAGTGACTAAATGGGTATCATCGAGTACGATGGATGTGATGGGTGCTAATACCTTCCACTTGCATAATTGGCTCCCGGACCCACTCTTTGGTCTCGTAGACCATTTCTTTTCTTTCGTGAGTTTTATTTGATATTTTCTCTTTCCTCTTGGAATAAATAAAATTTCGGTGGAGACTTCATAGTTTGAATATTTTTTGAGGCCTTACAGTTGACAACTTCATTGGGGATAAATCTCTAAGCGAGTCCACCCTAGTTTAGTTAGTTGTGTGTTTATTATTTTAGTTTTCTTACTTTTTTTGTGCTTTATTTCTCACTTTTATTTATGTTTCAGACATTAATTTCCTTATGCTTTGATTATTATCCTGTTGATATATTCATTGTGTGAGGGTTTTGGATTGGATCATTGATATTGCGAGAATAGCCCACTACCCAGGCTTGCGTGCACCTAAGTTAGAGTGGTTGAGTAGTATTGACTTGTCGGATGAAAGTGTCTTGGTGAGTTGGTGCAAGAACCACACCTAGAGTAGGTTCTTACGAAGATATTATTGTCGATGCAAGTTATTTTTGAATTGAGATTAATGTTGTTAGAAAGGCTTACTTCTCTAGGAAATTTTAGGAAACCTAACCCTCTTAGCTACTAAGACCGCTCATAAGAGACTCTTTTGAAAATGTTGTCACCTTGCAATTTTATTGTGATTGATAACAATATTTCCTAGATGAGGATAGTTTATCCAAAACTCTTAGAGCCTACCGATGAGGGGTTGGTGAGTAGATGTTACCTTTTAATCTTTATGACCTCATAATTCCCCCATGTGCTTCTTGAAGCTTTTCCTTTGAATCTGGACGTTTCATTGCATTTATTGCATTGATGACATTGCATTTCATTGTATTCATTTGCATAATTCATGCATACAATCAAGTTATCATGAGAAATCATTATATCTATCTTCATCTCCAGTTATTTGTCTATCGTTAAGCTGATTCTCCAACATAACTACAGAACTAGAGTTGCTGTCAGATTAAGAATGGAATATCAAGAGCAGCACAATGCAAAATTCTGAATGGAAATCGATGAGTTGAAGTCAGGCATGACTAGACTTACTGAAATGATGCAATTTCTGATTTCTAGAGGCGAACCACCTCAAAGGACTGTGATCTCTGAAATCTCAGTTGTTGTTGTTGTTGTTTATCCTCAACCTCCCTAGAAGACAGCTACTACTTGACCAGAATTTGGTTTGCCACCTAACTAATCTCCTCCGTCCAAGGTTACTTCAGGAATAGGTCGGTCTACTCCACATGTGGTTCAAATTCCATTGACTACTGAGACTTAACCAATCGTTCATACTGCTCCTCATCGACCTTTTATTTATTCTGTTACACAAGCTGCTTATGGAAATCCTCTCTTTGAGTACCATGTTGTTGGTTCCCAAAGTGAAAGCCAAAGAGGTGCTGGCAAGATTGAAGAAGTCCGAGAGTAGTACTAGACTTTGGAAAGAAGGCTGAGAGCTATGGAAGGTAATGGTGTCTTTAGTATTGCTTCCGAGAACATGTGCCTAGTTTTTGACCTGGTTATGCCTGCCAAGTTCAAGACTACTAAATTTGAAAAATACAAGGGGCACACCTGCCCAAGAATCCATTTGGTGATTTACTATCACAAGATGACTACTTACACCAAGAATGACTAGCTGCTTATCCATTGTTTCCAAGACAGCCTGAGTGGAGCTTCATTGAAATAATATATGGGACTTGAGAAGAACAATATACAATGTTTCTAAGACTTGACGGATGCTTTTATGAAGCAGTACATGTATAATATAGACATGCAACCTGATCGTCGTCAGTTGTAGAACATGTCTCAGAAAGAGAAAGAGTCTTTCAAAGAACATGCCCAACGGTTGAGAGAGTTAGCTTCTCTAGTGGAGCCACCTTTGTCAGAAAATGAGTTGATCAATTTGTTTGTGGATACTCTTACCCCTTTCTTCTGGGAAAAGATGATTGGAAGTGTGTCGTCAAGATTTACTGACTTGGTGACAATTGGTCAAAGGCTAGAGGAAGGAATCAAAAATGGAAAAGTTGCCAATACAGTTGAATTCTCTAGTGGGGCGAAGAAAACATATGGAGCCTTATGTCGCGCCGCAAAAAAATACAGAGTCACCATCGAATGTTATTTATCCCGAAGGGAGGGAAAATATCAAGAAAATCCGAAAAGGAATGGATAAGATGGTCTTGCAACCAAGAGATGGGTTTGGGAACCAATTATGCAAGGGGAAGGTATTAACACCCCCTCACATTCATCGTATTCGATGGGAACCATTTTGCTTATCTTATGTGTAAGGATGTTGTTAAGGATTTATGCTTGCTATGATTGCTTCAAAGAATGGGTTTAATTATGGGGGGAAATAAGTTTTTAATTAGTGTGCTCGCCTCGGTTTCACAACCTCGTGCCTACGTATTCCGGAGGAATTAGAGCGTCGTAGTTCGGCTAGAAAATAATTATTTATTTGTATATTTTATGGGAGATGTTAACATTCACATCCTAGCATATGGTATATAATAGAAATAACACACACCCTTTTCTGAAAGATTTTAAGTTATGCCATCAAGGCAATGTGCCATATTTGATTGGTTTAATTGATTTTAGAGTGGAGATAAGTCCTCGAATAGTAACCTCTGCAGGTAATACTCGATTCTTTATTACTCCAAAATGTTTGTTTCTAAAATATGTGTGGTAAGTATAGTTACGTTCTTTTTATTGAAAGAGAAGTACTTAGACTACACACTCTGAAGTGAGCATCAAGCACTTGAGAGAAGAACGAGTCTGCACCCAACCTTCTTTTTAGTCCAATAAATGGATGACATTACTTGTTATTTAGGAAGTGTTTTACTTTGGACAGTAAGTGTTTAGATAGTAACCTCTTCAAGTATTATCAAACAACCTTAGAATAGGAGAAGGCATTCGCCTAACCATTCCATGACCTTTTCAAGTTTGTTGAGAAAATAGTTTTGAAAAAGATCACTTGTACAAGTACCAAGGTTTTGGTTTTATTGTTTTATGAAAATGAATGAAATATGTGGATATAAGTGAAAGGAGGTGGATCTGGTAGAGGTAGGTTGGTTGTGACGTGGAAAAGCACGTCTACTTATGGACGATAACATACATGGCTTGTTTAGTTGGTTTATTATGGTGGAGTAGTGATGAAGAATTGTTGGAGGCCGATTGTGAATGCCTAAGTATAGTGGTAGAAATGTTGAGACTAAGCCATTGGATTGACTTAACTCGTACATATCAAATAAAAATTTCCACCATGCTTTATTGTTTCTAAAGGAAATGAGAAAAGAGCGAATAGACCCAAAAAGAGGGGGAGAATCTAGGTACGGGGGTTGGTTATGCAAAGGGAAGGTATTAGCACCCTAAACATATATGGTACTTCGCAAGAACCTCTTTGAAAATTTGTGCATTTTGGCTATAAAAGGTGTATACAAAATAAGATGGTGAAGATGAGAAAAGAAGTATTTTTTATAATTTTGCATCTGTCGCGGTTGTAAACCTTTAGTGCCTACGTACCACCTTCGTGCAATAAGGGATCAGGGTACTCGTAGTTCACCTCAAAAAATTTAAAATACATGTGTGTTGGTTAATTTTAAGAGAAGAGGCATCATCGTCATATCCGAGTGAAAACATACTTACTACCCACGATTATGAAAAAGGAGAATTTGCATCATCTCAAAGTGGAGGATATAGCTTGGATTTAAAATGCATCACTTAACACCCAAGTGGAAAATATTTCAATTCACTATATATCGTAGAAGTATAGTAGATCGCATCACTACAAGAATCGACAAGAGTATAATATTTTGAGAAAATATTTAAATTAAAAAGCCAAAGTTGCAAAATAGTTTAAATGAGTT